CGAAAACTCGGTTAAATAAAAACTTTAGGAGAAACTCTTCGCCTCAAGATTTGATAATTTTGATTATATACTGCTCCAGGCGATTATCAAACTTATACCATATGTACACGATAATAATACTCATTTGAATATATATTTTGCCAACTGTGTTATATACATATTTGCTTTTCTAAGAGTAAATGGTCAATATATTTACATGCGATTAATTTATTAAAATAGTAAATAAAACACCATCCTATCTACCTCATTATAAGTACGAGTATAACAATATGAGGTTTAATAATGTATAATTATGTCGACAATTTTATACGATTCAATACTTGAAAATACACCTTTCAGGTTAATTCCAATGGAACTCTAAGGATATTACTAGGCCAAATCCGCAAAGATCAAGTTTCTATAAGATCATTGATTTATCATCATCGACATCATCACCAGAATTGATAATACTCTCCATATTCTGAGGGATACTTTGGTTCGATGAATACTCGCACATCATGTGTACTTAAAATACTTTCTACGATAGGAGGTCGAATGGAGTGACATTTCACTCACAAGTAGGATAACTTCCAAGGAAGGGATAGAGGAGGTTACTGTAATAAAGGCTTTTCAAATCTAATACAAGTTGGTGATCCATGTTGACACTTTTAGCTGACTTTAGCTAGGATGAAGATCTCAATTTATTCTGATTACTGTTATCAAGACGTTATCCCTCTTTACTGTCTTGTATAGTCGTCTGTGTACCGCTGGACTGTGAACTTGCGCCCATCGTTACTGTTACTTTGAATTGAGTGAATATGTATATATGTGTATATATCTATATTATTTAAAAAAAAAATTGTTGTTCACTTCATCTTTATCTTACTTTGCTTCTTGGATCCTGCAGTAGAGTCTTATGTAAGACTTTGGGTCTTAATGGGGGCTTTTTATATGTATGTGTATGTATATATCATACTTACATAATCTTTCTTTTTCTTCTTCTGTATATTCCCCACTCTTTCACAGGCCTATCTCTCTTGTAATCTCGGGGAGAATCCTCTATAAGACCAGTGTGTCTTAATAAAGGCTTGTATGTGTGTGTACTGAACTTGCGCCACCTCTCAGAATAAAAATCAACTAATCGATGATTTTTAATTTTTCCAGAATTGGCCAAATACCATCAGCACATTTTTAGTTGCACATTCAGGAGATGTATTTTTCATAATTTATCCACTTAATCCCAGTAAAATTACATTTTCTATTTTTTTTTTTCACATGGTTATTATATTTCAATTCAAATTTAAATTTAATATACATTTAATTTAAGATATTTTATTCAATACAATACACCTATCCCCCGATTTACACGGTAGATACGTTCCTGAGAAAAACGTGTAAATCGGGGGATAGGTGTACACAGAAATAAAATGCATTGACAGGTTAAAATATGTAGTCAGCACATAAGCTCGGGATTCCTCGTGAGATGTGTACACAGCGCATGTGTTCAATCACAGTAGCATTTAGTATAGTGCGATAAAAACAAAACAAAAAAAAAACTTATTTGGAAAACCGTGTAAAAGCGAAACCGTGTAAAACAAGTACCGTGTAAAAGCGAAACCGTGTAAAACAAGTACCGTGTAAATCGGGGGATAGGTGTATATGTCTTTTATTATCTAATGGTTATTATAGGTAAGGAAGGAAATCCTTTCGAATCGGAGTGGGAGCTTTTATTATACTATTTATAAATCAAATATATATGGGCATATCCTGGACTCTCACATGAGCCCTTTATATATTTATTTTTTATATCAGAATTTTTAGGATATAAATAGAGATGTTTTGACAATGTAATATGATAACTAATTAATAGGCTAATCCCTTAATAGAATGTTCAAATCTAAAAGCTTGAGGGATGAGTAGTCTCACGTGTGTTTGTTTCTGATATTTATTTTATACTAGCCGAATGACCCGGGCAACGCCAGGGTTTTACCCGATTAAATGCTTTTATTCAAATACTATTCGTTACAATTATAAATTGGCGCTAAGGATGTCATTCTTGTATAATATATAAATGAGTTTTAAAAATTGTAAAAAAAAATGCATCGGCCGGGAATCCAACCCGGGCCGCCCGCGTGGCAGGCGACCATTTTATCACTGAACCATCGATGCTTATGAGAAATGGCCATATTTGGGTATTTATTCCATTCACAAAATCAAACGGTGACAGAATTAAGAATTGATTGATAATTCTGATACTTGTATATATTTTAATAGTTTGTTATACATTTGCCTCGCTTAATCTCAGTGTAATATAATTTAATTTACTTTATTTTTAATTTTCCTGTAGAAGGGCGTTGCCCGAAAGCTCAAAATAAATTTATTTGCAAAAGAAAGTCATCCCTCAAGCTTTTAGATTTGAACGTAATATGATAAGGTTTATGAAAAAAATCTAAATTGGATCGAAAATTGATTTTCATAACCATTATTTAAGTTGGCACCATGCCAACCTTTATCATAGTACTAACGTTGTAATATAACGCTATTGTATATATTGTATATTGATAAATGCTGCCAAGCGAAATATATATGGTAAATAAACTACATTTTAAAATCTATATATGCTTTCATATAATGAACTGGGCAACTCTGGGCTTCACTTCCATCAATAATTGACAATATGACCCAGAATAAGTATATTGCTACGGCGTTTTATGGTTTCCACAAGTCCATATCTCAGAAGAAGGCCAAGTGACACTCACTCCTCACTTTCTTACTGCTACTCTTTTTGTGTTGTTTTTCTTGCTTCCCTCTTGCTCTTTCTTCTTTTTTTTTCTTCTTTTTCTTCTGTCTATATCGTTATTTCCTTTGTCTCAATGCTTTGTTCTTATGCATACCTCTGGTGAATCCTGTATAGGGTCAGTGACCCTAAGTAAAGGCTTTTTGTTGTTGTTTGTTGCTTTCATATAATGATGTATGGCATGTGTTGTTTTACCTCTATTTGATATTGAAATTTATTAAATATAAAGCATTGTTGTTGCCATCTATATAGTAGAAATGAAACTATATTAACAGGAATTTTTATCAAAGTTATTTTATTTTGAAACAGAAAAATTCGCGCTAATATGATTTTAGAGCTAGAGTTCTTTGTGTTTAATTCTGACATGATTGTTTGTCATTGGCTGCGGAAGAGCAATTCTCGATGCAAGTATTGGTAAATATTTATACTGTCTGTATGTGAAGACGTCGTGCTTACAACTCTTCAGAAATTTAGAACGGTTAAACATCGTTATTCGCCTCAGGTCATCTGGATACCCGATATCATTTATCAACAGATACAGTTTTAACCCTGGTTGGCCTCCCTCGCAACCCCAATGTTTACAAATCACATTACATTATTTCATATTATTCTGTATAAAATTTTCTATATAAAAATATCCGTTAATTTGGTATCGCCACCTTCTTCTCCAATTCCCTCAACCTAGGCACAAGGTTCAGAAATCCTATGATAAAAGCCCTCACCACTTCCGACACCTTATCCAAAACCAACACGCCCTTTACTCAGTTAATTAACTCCGCCCTTGCCGGTCCCAAGCCCGGATGAAAAAGGAGGAGGGGGAGCAGTAACAAGCTGACTAAAAAACCTGGGCTCAAGCTGGCCCGGCTGATAGTACCCTGTAAGGGCTCCTAATCCAGGAATACAAGATGAGCAGCGTTTGTACTCCATGCGGCTGCACATGGCGTCTGTTCCTCATGTCAGAGACGGCCATTTATTTTGGAGCTAAGTCAGCCTGCCACTGAGTAGTGCTCCCAGTCTTAATGACAAAGGCAGACACATTCTACTTCACCCAGTGTGGAGATAAAAAAGAAGAAGAAGAATACTCAGTTAATTGCTCACAATGCAACGCTATTTATGTAGTTGAGACCAGTCGCACAATAGGCACCCGTTTAACCGAACATCAAAGATGTTTTAAAAACCGCGACAATAGATCTCAAATCTTCCAAAACATGTTAATTAAGCTGGACACTCCTTTAACTTTGCCCAAGCCACCTCCCACTATGTAAATATAAAAAACAAAACCAAAGTTTAATATTAGAAGCAATAGTATCTAAAGAAATCAATAGTACTGATAGAAGTTCCGAAATACCAGACGAAAATATTCCTTTGGTTGTTTAATACATAGCCCACTTACTTTTGATCAAAATTTTCATTGAATATATTTATATATTAAAACAGTCGCTCTTGTACAAATTTCCTCGATCGTTTATTCTCTATTAATTACAGTTTTGCATATATACACACCTGTATTCAAATATAATTTTCTTGTCGTTGATATTTCTTTAGATGAAAATCTTTTAATACAAATATGAATACCGTAAATATTGAGGCTGCCTGGCCAGCATTCATATTTCTTGAATAAAGATACTTCGGCCAATAAATCTTTTTATTACCTCGACGTTTCGACAAAAATCTTTTGTCCTCGTCTGGAGCAAACAAAAATTAAACATTCAGCAAGGCGTTAAAAATCTTTCTCCTGACGAGGACAAAAGATTTTTGTCGAAACGTCGAGGTAATAAAAAGATTTACTGGCCGAAGTATCTTCATTTTCAAGAAATATATGAATACCAATTTATTTTCTCATACGTTTTTATTTTTATTCCTGTGGAAGGGCAGAAATTTTCGAAAGCTCGTATAAATAAAATAAAAAACTAAAATAAACTCTTCGCCTCACGATTTTGTTCTTTTTTATATAAAACTAGAATAATAACCCGGCTTCGCCCGAGAAATCCCCTGAGTGAAGTATCCTTCATACTGAAAATACATCAATAATAAATAGTAGAAGTGCCATAGAATAGCAATACCGAAGAAACACATAAACTACAGGAAAAAAAGTGTGTAATGGCAAAATTGTATTATATTAGTGTTTAGGTATTTGATTTAATTATTTTTTTCAATCCATTTAGTTGTTTCAAAATTAATATAGTTTAAATAAATGAGTTTTAAAAATTGTAAAAAAAAAAAATGCATCGGCCAGGAATCGAACCCGAGCCGCCCGCGTGGCATTCTCGCCATTGAACTACCGATGCTTATAAGAAATGGCCATATTTGGGTATTTATTCCATTCACAAAAGCAAACGGTGACAGAATTAAGAAATGATTGATGACTCTGATACTTGTATATTTTAATACTTGTTCCATGTGATTATTCAACTAATGTTCTATCTGATTCCGTTCCGTACAGGTATGAAAGGATCATGGAGGGTCGGGGTAATAAACTCACTTGTTGATCATACCGCGAGAATTTTAGTTATTAAACTTTGAATGTATCAAAATTTTGAATAAATATGTTGATAAGCATCACATGGATACTATTTATCTATTTATATATCTATATATATAAAATCAAAGTTTGTATGTTTGTTTGTCTGTTTGTATGTCCGGTATACAAATTCGCAGTAGTTCACTAATTCAAACCAAAATTTTCATACATAGGTAAAAAATACGGGGAAGACGATAGGCTATATTAAAAAATATATAAATCAATTAATAAAACTATATATTCAAATTAATCTACTTAGCTCACGAACAGCGCCCTCTATCAACGATTAAATTATGCTGATGCAAACAAATAGATAATGCTAATAACAAACAATTATAAAAAAAATCTTATCTAAATATATATCACTCGGGTAGATATGCACACGGGTCAATCCCGGGGCGAAGCCCGGGTCACCCGTCTAGTTTAAAATAAAACATCACCTGAATAAGAAATAGAAATAAATTTTCTACTGCCCTTACTGTAATGTTAAATTGATGGAAGCCTGGCTCATCAGTGGTGAAACCTTCTATTAATTTATCATTTTAAGTGAAGGCAGTAGAAATTTGTTTACTTTTAAAAAGAATCATACGCGTCTAAAATGGTTTTAATTTCTTCTAACAGATGGCGCGCTAATGCCTCATATTATAATTTTTATAAATAAATCACCTGATTCATTAGTTTTTAGGGATATTTCTAAACAAAGGATGGTGTAAATGAAGAAATTAGAAACATCACACAGCTGAAAATATACATTAAAATAATTATACAAATTATCTAGCTACCGACAATCTAATATGACAAAAGTTTTAATTGTAATATGGTGTTGGAATCCAAGCCATCACTACGTCAGCCTGGTAATACCTAGCTTCCTTCGGCATCTTCTCAACCTATATAGATAGATACGAGAAAGTATAAACAATTTACTACGAAAACACTAAATAAATGTCACAGTAAAGCATTGAACGGAAAAACAATTTTTCCGGAGCGGGCAAATAAATAAATGCACGCCCACACACTTCAAATATTCGGTTCTGACCAGCAATGAGGGGGCGGAATTAGATAGAAGAGGTTTGGTATGGAAAAACATATAGCCACCCAACTCTATATTTTGTATTTTCTATTGGAACATATAGAGGCATGAATGAGATATAGACATTTGAAATTTCTATGGCTAAATAGAAGCTATACTCTTGTAAATAGAGGTATGTATAAGACGTTAGAATTAGGTTCGCCCTTCCGAGAGATAGTGATTCCGAATTGGGCTTCCAGCTAATTCAATGGAGATTTTGATGTACAATAAAAAGATATCAATCTAAAAATATTTCAAACTTTTATGATAAAACTTTATTTACGCAATTTACAAATAAAACTTATCAAATAACCTATTCTGCTCAATAGAGAAAAGTCTGTGATTCTAAATTTTCTCAAGATCTTCTCTGACACGAACTCTAATTCTCTAAAACCTTTTATTTAGACAACTGCAAGTGTAAAATTGTCATGGATATTTGACAACGTTTTTTTAAAATATGCTATGTAGTGTTTCGTTAGATAGGGTCGGGTTTAATCATCTCCATTTCTAGATAGACCATACGGTTATCTGGCAGTGAAGGCAGGTAGAGGTACATGAGACAAAGAACTTTCTTGAAACAAGAGCTGCGGTAGCGGAGGATCAAAGAAGGCTGGGAACAAAGGGACGTCACGGCAGGAGATCGATGGCTAGCCGACTCTACCTGCCACACTTCCTTCCCTTCTTCCTGACACCGTTTATGTCTCACACAGTACCATTCACCTTTCAAAGATCACTGTTTGCCTTTAACATCGCGCCGTCTGCCTTTACATCGTACCATTTATCCTTTATATCCCACCATCTACCTTTACATCGCACCGTTTATCCTCCATCTCGTACCATCTACCTTTGCATTGTACCGTCTACCTTTCACAGATAATCTTCTACCTTTCATCACGTGCCAATTATTTTTACATCGCACCGTTCACCTTTCACAGAGCACAGTCTACCATTACATTGTTCCACTTATCCTTCATATCGCACTGTCTACCTTTTACATAGCACCTTCTACCTTTACATCGCACCATTTACCCTTTATCTCGTACCATCTACCTTTGCATCGCACCGTTCACCTTTCACAGATAACCGTCTACCTTTCACATCGCGCCGTTTAACTTTACCATCGCGCCGTTTACCTATACATTGCACCGTTCACCCTTCACAGATCACCGTCTACCTTTACCATCGAGCCGTTTACCTTTCACAGATCACCGTCTACCTTTACCATCGCGCCGTTTACCTTTACCATTATGGTGTCTACCTTTATTATCGCCGTTTATTCTTCATCTCGCACCGTCTACCTTTACATTTCACCGTTTATCCTTTATATCGCACCATCTACCTTTATATCTCACTGTTTATCCGTTGATTTCGTGATAAACTGGTGTAGTGACACATTCTCTTCATTCAAACTTTGCGTTCTTCACAGGGCTGATAAATGAAAAATAAAAAAATACATTGTTGGATCGATTTCAATAAAGGGGAGTGGCACATATTTGTTTATGAATATCGACCTCTAATGAGAGTGAGAAAATGATAATTATTATAATTATATAACACTTAAATATGCGCGAAAATGGTGTTCATCTGCCAAAAGTGGCACCTCTCTCTTTATAACCTCTTATAAAAATTTGACCGAATTCCTAAAAGCTCTCGTAGTATGTCATATAATCGAAGCCGCTCCTTAACTGATGAGAGGACCAAAACCCAAAACTATGGTATACAGGTTGAGTTTTGTCTAAATTTCCCAAACCTGGTGTTGTGTGGATCATTCTTTATGATCACCGTTATGTTATTTTTACTGGGATGATAAACCAGCCTTGTTTTAATGCATTTTTAATAGTGGTTAGTGAGAAGCCGAACTGGCATTACTGCCTCACTTGTATCAATTTGGATGAGCGAATCACCAAATTTGTCAGTTGATAATGTTGATGCTTAACTTTGAATTCGGTGATTGATCAAATTACATTACTGAATTATTTTCTTTAAAAATTAGAGCGGCGGAGAGCTTTCGATGCATGAATTAAATTTAAGGTAGTCTCAGATTATTCGTCACGACATTTGACAACAAGCTGTTCACACTGATATTAATGTTTTAGCCAAAATGAGTGAGTTTCTATCTATAGATCTTCTATGGTTTCTAAATAGAAAATATAAAGTACGGACATTATTGGTTCTGTCTTGACATGGGGGAATAAAATATCAACGTGGTTGTGTCTCTATTTGGCCAACAAGAAGTCACGTCAGCAGGCCAGTCGCCCGAGGGTGGAAGAGTTATTTGAGAACCGGGGGAAAGGACAAGGTCGAACACCTGGTTGCCTGGCAACGGTTCTCGTTCAAACAAAGGAAACACGTTATTACACGGCGTGGCAGATAAACATTTTTAATTATCCTGGTGGCGGAGCAACTGGCGACATCGTGTCAGACGGATGACACTTCCTTCTAGGGTCGGCAGGGTGAGTATCGTGGCAGTGGAAGTATTTCTGCTGTGACACTGTCAACGTGTCAAAAGGTCAATAGTAGGAATATAAGTATTTCTGCTGTGGTACACTGTCATAGGGTGAGTATGTCCATTGTGGCAGTGAATGTATATCCGCAGTTGGCATTGTCATGGGATATTTTCAATCTGGAAGTGCATGTATTCCATGTACGCCACTGTCATTGGATGAGTATTCCCATTGTAGCAGTGCATGTATCCCTGTTCTGGCACTGTGATGGGTTGAATATGTTTATCGTGGCAGGGCATGTATTCCTGCTCTGGCACTCTCAGAGGCAAGTATAGCGGAGTATATGTTTACTTAGCGTAAAATTGACCACCTAGTTTCCTTTTCTACTCATGTAGTTTTTGTGAAAATATTGATGGATAAAAATATACATTTCGGACAAACAGGTATATATGATAATATATATATGGTAATTTAAAACAACAACCTCATATGGTGTAGATAACTTATAACAAGATTGCCATGTTGTATATAGAAACACATCTATAAATAATTATGCGCATGATTAATCTGTGTCTTTACATCACCCTATGTAATGTAATTTGTACAAAGTGGATAAATAAATAAAATCTGTAATAGATTTAAAAGTTGAGCTAAAGCAAAAGTTGCCAAAACAACAGAGTCTAAAGAGGGAATTCATAAATCAGGTAGATTCACAGTTCCCACGACAGGCCACCCACACTGTCACATGTGGTGGAATGCAGAGACCCCTCTCACACCTGGACAGGTAAAGGCGGCCTTTCTCAAACGCCCCTGTCACATAAGGTCCCCCCCCCCCGTCTTTTAACCTATAAATACATCGCCTGACAGTGGCTTGACAGCTCAGTTCAGTTCAGTTCAGTTGAGTTTAGTTCACCCTTAGTGCAAGCCGCGTCGGTCGTATGTTATGTCGATCTCATCCAACATGTAGTTAGGAAGAACTCGTCTATCTCCATCCTTTCGCTCCTGGCTCAACTTTTATCTGTTTACGGAACTTTCTTAGTGCAACTGTGTCTTCGTTTTTTGTATGGATATCCCCAAGCTTTTCCACTCTGCCTCGACCACGACTGCCTGTATTTTGTGAGAACTTTTAAAGGTCTTCCAAGGTGCAGAGAGGTACTGGAAAACTCTACATCCTAACTGTTCCTCTTGGTCAACACACTCTACACAAGGCTTACCAGGACTTCAACTTTTATTTCAGTAGTCGATAGGATCTCT